ATCAAAGACAAAATGAAGCGGAGACGGTCACTGATTAGTGATTACCATCAAAACTAGCAACAAATCGAGTTAAAACATAATTACAGTTATATAAAGGTTAATGTTCCTTGCTTGGCCAAGAATGACATTATTTTTATACGAAACCAAACCAAACCAAACCAAACCGCCCCGGCCCTGCGTAAAACTTAAACTGAAAACCAAAAACATAAAAGGAGAAAAAGTTGCACCTTTCGTTTGTTCTGTAATGTTGAGTGAGTGAATGCCAGAGAGGGAAAATGCTAGTCGGGGAGGGGAGAACCGGAGAAGAGAGCCTTGAATAGGGGAAAATCGCCAGCCGTGAGGAGAATTGGGGGAAACGACTAACAAGCTAAGGATTGGCAAAACTGGGCCACTCGGGGAAAGGGAAAAGGAAGAGGGCTTGGGCTTTCAAAATTTTAAAAGTCTTGGGCTTGGGTTGGGTGGGCTTTTTTTTAAGCAAAAAATTAAGGGCCCAGTGGGAACAACTGCCCCCATTGGGCCCTTCATAGGTCTGCCCCTGCACTGGATAGTGGTTGTTGCGAAGCATGTGCTTTATTCTCTTTGCTTATTTAAGCATGACATAATCTAACAAGATTATGGAAATATCTAAATTCGTTCAGCTAAAAAAGTTAATAAAAACTTAAATTAAAGTCAACAATAAATTATAATTATACATTCAATGGGACGTACAACTTTTATCAATTTTTAAACAACACATTTCATTAACTTATATCGAAATCTACTAAAAATCTTATTTTTGGCTAAACCAAAAGGGGCTAAGGTATTTGATCTTATGTTGTGTTTGATGGGATTTATTTTTTATGAAAAATGTCATTTTTCCATCCCATTTCTTACTTTTAGGGTACTTGATTGGCATTTTTCCCATGGAAAATATTTTCTAAAAGTTGGTCATGTGATCGTGTTTTCCTCAAAAACAAGGAAAACATTTTCTGTGGGGAATAAGTTTTTATTTTCTAGGCAATCCACACTTTACAAAATTCAACTTTTTGAAAAAGCACAACATTTTCTAGGTTGAAAATTAAGTCAATCAAATACACTTAATTGAAAATTTTCATGCAAATTAGTTTTAAGTAATTCGATTTTCTAGAACTTATTATTTTTTTTTTTTTCATACAAGTTCCATGCTTGTAATTAAACACACTCTAAGTTTGGTTGACTTTAGTTTCCATAAAAAATATCATTTTTCACACAAGTTCCTACTTTTAGGGTGTTTGATTGACCTTTTTTCTATGGAAAATATTTTCCAAAAGTTGGTCACGTGATCATGTTTTCTCTAAAAAAAAAGTATTTTCTTCATGGGGGTAGTTTTTATTTCAATTAAGCTATTTGTACACTCTTGTTGACACATGGGTGACGTGACTAGATTGTGATGATTGGATTAAATGTGTGAGAAATAAAAGATGGTGTGAGATTGTGTCAAGTGTAAATTCGGTAAGTTGGGGTGTAAATTATGTGTGCATATAACAATATTGTTTTTATTTTCTAGGCAATTCACACGTCTCAAAAACTCAACTTTATGAAAAAGCACAGCATTTTCTAGGTTGAAAATTAAGCTAATTGAACACATATATTGATAATTTCTATACAAATAAGTTTTAAGCAATTAGATTGTCTAGACTTATTTTCTTTCTATAAAAGTTCCATACTTGCAATCAAACACACCTTTATTTCCTAATAAATTCGTGCTACGACCTAATAATGATAAATTCCTACATTAGTGAAGTGTTCGCTATCTACGGCGCAATATTGCAAGTGCACGAGCCATGAATGAGTAATAAAGGGATGCAGAGTGTCTATCCCACGAGAATTGGTCTACTCGTGCTTAAGTAATTTAATTCTAGTTTGATTAAATTGCATGTGACAAGCACAAATTGGTTGGATAGTTTTAATTCACTATTTAATTGAAGACGGTTAGAAAAATGAAAGAAANNNAAGACGGTTAGAAAAATGAAAGAAAGTAAAAGGGATTTTCTGGGAAACTCTAATTGAAAACATTTTGGAATTCATGATTTCATTTAATTGTTGTCCAATTAATTGTCAAAAAGCAATTTGATGTATTACCCACTTTATAATGATAGATCTAATCCTCTTAATTTAGTAATTACTTGTCTCGAGTGTCAAACTAGACCAAATTGATCGTATTAACCTACTATATTTCTATGTTGATTAATAACACAATCAATCGTGTTTATTTTTGTGAGAATAGCTTAAGGATTATCTAGGTTAGGAGTATATCTCTATCTCCTACATGAACTTACCTAGGTGATTGTTATTGGGTCGAAAATATCTAATAACCTCTTAGAGATTAAGGGCGTGTTCGGTAGAGATTAAAATCATATTAAAATTGAAAAACTAGCCGTTATGGTTGACTTTTATTAGACGAGTGAGATCCAATAACGACTTTATTTTCAATTTTAATTTGATTTTGAGTTGTACCAAACAAGCTCTAAGTACTTCACTAAGCAAACATTTGTTGATAATGATAAGCTAATGAAAGAAATTAAATACATAACAAGTATAACATTCTTCCTTGAGCTCTTCCTTCATCAATTTCCCCAATTTTCTTCTAAGTTTCTCTTAGTTTTGCTTTTGTACTCCCCCTCCCCCCTCTCTTTTTTTTCCTATCAAAGTCTCCAAAAACATCTTCTCAAAATTATGATAGCAAAAATGGTATTTGTAGTCTTGAATTGTTGCTCTAGAGTTTTGTGTCTTTGAAGTTCCAAAAATACCCACATGGACAAAAGGAAATTACTTGGGAAAAAAGTTCCTCTTAATTCCAATTTTGACCTTGCTTTTCCAGTTTTTATTACTTGAATTTTCTAGAGCACTCCAAACATGCCTTTTTTTTTTTTTTTTCTCTTGTCAAGTTTGCTATAGCTGGGGTCTCGACTCTTTGACTTTGCTTCAAATATCCAACTTCTTGTTTTATTTTCTATTTTCATCAATGTAGCTCCCTTTTGGGAATGAAGCCTAAAACATGAAAATGAACTCAAATAAATAATAATAAGCACAAAATTCGTGTAAGAGTCCATTAAGGGTAAGAATAACACTTTCATTAAGGGTGCATTTGATTACCAATACTTACTTTTGTGCTTTTTGATTGGCATTTTTTCCATGAAAAACATTTTCCTACTTTTGGTCACGTGATCATATTTTTCTCAAAATCAAGGAAAAATATTTTCTTTAGAGAAACATAATTTTATTTTTTAGGGAATTCACTTTCTCTTTCCCTATCTTATCTGGCCCCTCTCTCATTTACTTACCAATAAAAAATGAACAAGTATAATATTTTTTAAGTAGAAAACTAAATCAATTAAATACATTTAATTAATAATATCCATTCTTTCCATGCAATTCTATGCTCGCAATCAAACGCACCCTTAGGCTCTGTTTGATGCACATTATTGAGTGGAGAATGCATTTTAAATAATGATTTAGAGCTTGTTTGATGCCCATTTTTTTGCAAAAAAATGCATTTTGGAACAGTGATTTGATGGACAATGTATAGTTAAAAAATAAGGAAAAGTTTTGGGTTTATGTGTAATATTATTTTATTGAAGAATGTGTGGTTGAAGAGAAGAGAGAGAAAAATGTATTTTAAAAAGAATGAGAATCAAACAAGGCCTTAATGAGAAATATATGGTTAAAAAATAAGAGTTTTTTTTGAATTTACGTGTAATATTATTTTATTGACAAATGTATGGTTGAAAATGAGTTTTGAAAAAATGAATTTTTTAAGAATGTGGATCAAACGGTGTGTAAGCATAAAAATAGTAATTAAAATATAAAAGTTTGAGCTACCTGCCTAACGAGATTGACCTTATAAGATGAAACTCCAATCTTAATGGTGTCATGGACTCATGGCAAGGTGTAGCAATTCTCAGCCGCTTAGCTTATATTCATATTTCGAGTTTTAATAATCGAGTCTCATGTGTGAAAAATAGCAAAGTTTCCCGAAGATTTTCTGACAATAGAGTCTAAGCTACTTTATTATGAAGTTTACGTTGGCATGGGCGAATTTAGGTGGTGGCATGTGGGGTCAGCTGAAATTTTTTGATTTTCTTTTTTTTTTTTGTAAATTTTAACCTTTTTTTTTCCACCATGTGGAGTAGGGTTGTTTCTCGGTTAAGGATGGGATTTAGATGGAATTTGAAGCCTATGTTTGGTTTCAATATTCATTTTCAACTACACATTTTCACATAAAATAATTTGACACGTAAATCAAAAACTTTTCCTTATTTTTTAACCACGCATTTTCCAAAAAATCACTAATCCAAAATATATTTTTAACTAAAAATAGGGCTCAAACAAGGGCGAAATGTCTGTTGGTTTAATAGATAGACCAATTTTCATTCCAAATGCAAAAGGTTCTTCTCTCCTTGATGTTACTTTTCTCTTACGCTCTTTCTTCCTTATAATACCTACTTTCTCTATCTACATTACCTTTGCACCCATGTTTGGTAAAACGTGAAAGAGGATGGATGATGATTAAAAATGTGCTAGAATGAAGGAAAGGAAAAATAGGTAGCTTGCTGTGAAAGTTAAGATCAAGGTTTTTAGGTTTCAAAATATAAGGAGGCGAACCTATGAAGTTCTAAAGAACTTTTTTGGATTTCAATATGGAAGAAAAGGAGGAAAGCAAACATATATAGACTGAGTTATGAGCTTGTCTAATCCAACCTATTCACGCGAGGGAGAAGAATATTTCAAATCACTGATCCATATTAGTCACATTTGATGTGTCTGTCACCAAATCCACCATGATTCCTATGAAGTAACCTTATTTCCCTTGCACTGCCTATTCCACTTCTCTGCTTCCTGCGGTAGTCAATTGTTTGATGTTAGACAACCAAAC